CACACACACACACACACACACACACACACACACACGCGCGCGCGCGCGCGTGTATCGTGCGTGCGTGATGACAATAATAGTGGTGATGACGATGATGATGATGTTGATGATGATGATGATGAAGGTGATGATGCTGATGATGACGACGGTAATGACGACGACGATAATGATGATGACGACGACGATGATGATGATAATCGCGCGACACTGTGGCTCGGCGACAGGTATCACGCTGGGCCTGGACAAGGAGCAGGTGGAGAGAAAGCTACAGGACATCTGCATGTCGGTGTTGCGCTCGCTGGCCGACTGTCGTCTCGTCGACATGGATGACGACGCCTTCGCTCTGAAGTCGACAGGTTTGTGTGAATCTCGCACTTGACTTCAAGGCCACTCGGCTTGTTCAAGGTCACTTGGGTTTTTTCAAGGTTACTTTGCCCGTTTAAGGTCACTTTGCCTGTTTAAGGATACACGACATTTTCAAGGTCACTTGACTGTTTCAAGGTCAAGCGGCTTTTCCAAGGTCACGCGGCTTTTTCAATAGTCACTCTACGTTTTCAGTAGTCACTCGGCTTGCGAATCTTTCGACATTTCGATTCACGTCTTCCCCATAGGCGCCATAATTCTGCACCAATGTAGCCAATAGCACACAATATGCAACATTATCGAACATTTTCAGACAATAGTGTTAGTGTTAATGCCCTAAAGCCACGTTGTTGTAGCCGGACGTTTGTTCCTTGCAGAGTCGGGAAGGCTGATGGCCCGGTATTACGTTGCATTCGAGACAATGGCGAGTTTCCATGGCTTCACCGGTAGATTCGGCCTAGAGGACTTGGTGAGATCTCGCCCGCCGTTGTTGAGGCATCGCGCGGGAGGCCCACGTTCCCATCCGCTCACCTGCTCGTATATTACATTCTGCGTGTGCACTGTTGTCCTACATCAACTGCTGCTCCTACGTATTACAACTAAGTGCGGACATTGTGGGGCCGCCACGTGCGCGTATCCCCCTAAACAAGAGGGCATGTCTTCTTTTAATACATGAGCGCCTGTCATCGGCTGACTTTACGCTGATTATTGCTACTTGGACTTGATTACGTCGAAACGTATTGCATTCTGATGCGAGCATATGCTTGCTGTTGCGCACTGTGCTTGCCCACGCTCAGCCTGTTCTGCTTACATCTATGACAAATACGACATACGCATATACGCTCTCCTATGACACTATTTGTCATAGGAAGATTCTTCCTATGACAAATATTGTTGTATGTGTTGTGCGCATCAAAGGAGTTTAGGAGCGCTATTATGAACGCAATCAGTGCATGAATGTGAGCTGTAAAGCGGAACGAAGTTGACTCGCCAATATTTGTCATAGGAAGAATCTTCTATTTAATAGTGTCATAGGAGAACGTATATGCGTATGTCGTATTTGTCATAGATGCAAGCAGAAGATGTTGTTACGCTTGCCGTGTGAAATCGCCGCGAAAGCGGTTCGGGTAACATCAAGTGTCCATAATAGAAGCTGATAGAATTTCTATCATGGGCTCTTGGTAATATATAAGTACGGCCGTATATATAAGTTACTAGCGGGATACCCGGCGTTGCCCTGGGAAATCAGTGGCCTTGCTCAGTTGGTGACCGCTTGGTTGAAAGGAAAATACCCCCAAAAATCTAACTATCTATCTATCCATACATCTATCCATGCATCCATTCATCCCATCCCATTCCATGCCATGCCATCCCATCCCATCCCATATCGCATCCCATCCCATATATAAAAAATATAATATTTGATATGTAACCTACATAGGCTTCCGTGAAGTGTTCCCGTCAGTTTGCGCTATTATTATCATCTACTATAGTTTATTCTGGATTTTTACTAAACGTTGAAATGTAGTAAAAAAAATTTTAAAAAATTAAATTTTGAAATTAACGGTGAAGTGGCAAGAAGTACATACAAAACAATCCAAAATTAAAGAAACAGTATTTCCCGAGGTGGGATTCGAACCCGCAATCCCGGTGTAGGAGACGGATATTTTAGCTATTAGGCCACTGCGCCGTTAAGGGTATACACCATGGATTCACACGTACGTCATGTTAATCTGTACGCACCGCCATCTATTGAATTGTTATCAATTTTTTACTTTTTTACTTCATTTTTTTATTGATTTTTTTTCGTCTAGGAACACTCCCCCGGGTATAGGAAATCGCCCTCTGAAAATTGCATCCAGATCGCTTGGGCGGTTTGGCTGGGGCATAGGTGACATACATACATACGAACTGAAATATAGATTTGATATCTTGGAGTAATCATTCTGAATTATTCTGAATGATTACTCCAAGGTTATACAAATATACGTAAGTTAATTGTGGCGATGAAAGAAGATGATGCGCAGATGGTCCCTACGTAATATATACTTGTCGTTGCCGTTGTCTTCTCAGGTGAGGGCGGTCGCTGGATGTCAGGAGTTCCGGGACATACAGCTACGTGCGAACGAAAAGAGAGCACTGAACAACCTCAACCAGCACAAGACGGATCTGTGTATCAGGTGCGTGATCTGTGTGTATCAGGTGCGTGATCTGTGTATCAGGTGCGTGATCACACACACACACACACACACACACACACACACACACACACACACACGCACGCACGCACGCACGCACATCCGAAACCGGTGTTAATAGGAAACATTTATAGCAGAGAATACTTATAATGCCTCCGTTGAACATCCGCTAACTAATAGAACAAGCAGAACCTTACACCTGTGAGAGAGATGACACCGACAAGCGATGGGCATTCGTCGTGGGCGCCAGTAATTGCTGATGTATACGCTATTTTGCAGAGCTGCTTGTCAGCGGTGTGGGATTTCACCACGCGGGTATAGATCCAGGAGACAAGCGCCACGTAGAAGATGTGTTTACTGCCGGTGAACTTCCTGTCCTGTGTGCGTATACTGCGACGCGTTCGTTTGTCGCTAATTATTAACCTGAGCGTCGTTACCTGGATCCGTGCCCCGCAGCGACGGTCCACGCTTCCTGTGACAGGCTGGACGTACTGCAAGCAGGGCCGTAGACTGAGTAAATTCCTGGGGGGGGGGTTAACATTTTATGACTCAACTGTGAGCGACGGGCGCAGCTCTTGATCGACGTCCATAGTGCGGTATAGGGTGGGTCTGAGACAAGGCTTTCACGGATAAGTGACAAAAAAATCACGTTAGGGTTATTTACGATTATTAGCTCAGTTTATTGGTTAATTTTGCTCCAAAATCCCCCCCCCCACACACACACAGGCTACGGCCCTGGCAATAGTGTGTGTGACACTCGCTCTCAGACCCGAGTGCTAACTATAGTGTGGGTTAATATTGGGAAAATTGTTCACGAAAGCGTTCATTCGTATATTCTTGTGCGATTTGGCAATCAACTGCGCTTATTATGACATTATATATTATTATATATAATAATACATAATATATATATATTATTATATATATTATATTATTATTGCTTATTATGGCATTATTTCCTCGATGTAGTAATTTTCGTTTATTGAAAATACGAATTCGTTGTGCTCGCCAATGCCGTATTACTAAATCATTCTCCTGGTTTATTATATTATTATTATCATCATCATCATCATTATTATAGTAATAATAATAATAATAATTATTATTATTATTATTATATTTATTATTATTAAACTTACATCTGGTTTCACACTAAAATATGTTACACGATATATTATAGACTATAATATATTAACTGATACTCGGTTGAAAACCGTTTGTTCGGCGTCTTAAAAAGACAAAAAAAAAGGTAAAGATATTGCCGGAAAATAGCCGGGGCGCTGTTTTGTTTTCGTTCTGTTCGATGTTAACAGGTTTCAATTTCGTGCTTCTGTTCTGGGTAATATGCGTTGCTAACCTGCTGCTGTCCGGTGTCTGAGGATTTTGTGTAAAGCCCGCATAATGTCAGGAGAAATAACCATGTAATAATGAAGTTACAATATTCAGTAGCTATTTGCCATAGTTATCCCATATGAGATGTACAAGGTTGAATCTCATCAGAGCAGATGCTTTTTTTTTGAAGTCTGCAAAGTGTACGGGTCGTGAACACCAGATCGTTCCACAGAGCGGTCCGATCACCAAAGCACGTTAATATTACGCTCGGTCCACACAGAGTGCAACATGCGTAGAATAAGAAAAGATCACAATCCACGCAAATATTACCTGCGTCCCGTCCCACACAGTGGAAACATGCGAAGCACGTAATATTACGTTGCTACGCAGCTAGCCAGTGGTTAATCCCAGTCGCCCGACCTACCAGCCATTCAGATCTTATCTATATTCTACTTTCGAGTCCTATCATCAACCAGTGAGTTCCACATAGCATACAATAAAAACATTTGTGTGTCGTGCGTGCGGTGCCGTGCGTGCGTGTGTCTGTTATTTCACTGTGTACTTGCCAAACAAATGTTAACTGTGTTTACGGTAAGGCATGGATTCTACAGTATTTGGGTATTGACATCTCAACCATAAAAAAAAACATGTGCAACAACTAGACTCTCCATATCACACCTTACACAGAACACTACTGTAGCCGACTGGTAACACAGCATCACAGTCCACTAAGCCGCGCGTTAGGGCCGGGTTTCAGCTAGTAACATAATTCGGCTGCCCATGATCACAATAAACTGTATAACTGTGAACGGTTGACTGAATGGTACAAGAGATGACGGGCAACCACAATTCCAGGATCGACTTCGCCACGAGGTGTTGTTGTCTCTGCAAACATAGCAGTCAGCGTTCGTGGTGTAGTAACCTTGCCAACCTAGCGCCCCACGGGTACCGACAATGACACGGCTTTTCTCCCCTGGTTATCATGCATCCTATTTACGCGTTCAACAAGAACATGTTTCAGTTGTCTTCCTCAATACACGAAGTCGAGGAAAGCTGAAAACTTTATTAACTTTTAAACTAAAAGTCGATGGTGTAAAATCAACTGTAGCCGAATTTGCAATGAAGTTTGTTTGCCCGAAACAATATGAAACCTTGTACTACCTTGACATCAACGATGATATGATATGATATGATATCATGCTCGTATGCTTAATATTGCTATGATATGATATGATATGATGATATGGCATGCTATGTGGTGATATTATATGATACGATACGATATGATATGATATAAGTCAATTTAATTATCTATGATTTTAAAACAATATTAAAGGGACAGTAACTTCTAGGATTTTACTGCATACAACTGTACTTACTATATAACAAATCGTCTATACCCACACGCTATTTGTTAACCAGATACCTAATTTACTTGTTATAATTTAATACACTTCAACCTTGAGACGGCGGCGCCATGACACCGCGGACCGTGCTGCCACCCGCGAAAAAGTTGACCCGTATTTGACAATTTATTCTTGCACGTTACAGACAAGGTGCTAATCATCAAAAAGTGCAATTATATTTCTACCTAAATGCTACTTACCGAACGATATTCATTTTAGGGCAAAATTTATCCATATTGATAACTGAAACCTATATGGTCGTTTAGTTAAGATATGTACAATCCTTTTGCTTTTAGAATGAAAAAATAGAAACACCCTCGGTCTTAGCCCTTGGCTGGAAAAGTGGTTTGCGCAACTTATCAGATCAGTGCCGCTGTGAGTGGCGCCACAGTCGTTGGCAATCAAACTGTAGTCTGTTAGTTTTAAAACGTGTAAACAAAAAATTCTAATGGTTGATTGCAACCATGAAACTGTTATAGCGTAATTTATAAGCCTAAAATTAGCTGAAAATAACCCCTTAAACCTAGAGTAAAGCTCTCCCTTTAAATGATCAAGGTAACTGTGTAGAGCGACACATGTCTAGCTGTCATTATAAAAAATAAAAACCAAACATGTTTGGAAATTACACAAACAGCAAAGGTCACTCATGATTTTTTTTCATAAAAGGAAAACTCGACTAGTCTAAATGTCACAGAAATATATTTTTAGTTGTTGGTCCTCACAATTCAGGTTATTCTATACGACTTTGAACTAGATTGTAAACTAAATGACTTTACACGGTCATCATATCTACAAGGAAAGTTCTGCACGGGGTAGGATTCCCATAATAAATGCAATATATGGCATGAGCCAAGTACTCTCGAGTATTAGGGTGCATTTGTGGGTCATTTATAGAATACTTAATTGTTTCTGCTTGAAGCCTATATAGCGTATATAGTAGCATTGCTAGAAATTAGCCATCTACAATATTGTCTTACTCTCCGATGCTGCAAGTTCTAAGAACTAGTAGAGCACCTAATATTAAATATAACGGCACTGCTGTCGTGAGATAAAAGCGGGTCTTTATCTGTTAGTGGCTGGTGACGTATCAGCAGCAGCAGCAGCAGCAGCCAGCAGCGAGCAGCAGCAGCAGCACAGCACAGCAGCAGCCAGCAGAGAGCGCAGCAGCTAGCAACAGCAGCAAACCGAGAGCCAGCAGCAGCAGTAGCAACCAGCAGCAGCAGGCAGCCAGCAGTAGCAACACCCAGCAACCAGCAGCAGCAGCAGCAGCAGCAGCAGCAACAGCACAAGCAACCTATAGTAATAACAATATTAGTAATAATAGTCATAATAATATTAGTAATAATAATAATAATGAATAACATATGAAAATATTAATTAAGTCTTAATGATGATGATGATGATGCATGATGATAATAATAATATAATTCATAAGGAGAATTGATAATGATAATAATAATGATAACTGATAATGAATACATGATAATGCGATAAATGATAATGATATATGATAATGATAATGATCAATGATAATGTATAAATGATAGATGGATAATTGATAATGGATAATGATAATGATAATGATAATGATAATGCAAATAATAATGAATAATGATATGATGATAATGATAATGATTAATGAATAATGATGATGCATGATGGATAAAGAATAAGATAATGATAATGATAATGATAATGAAAATGATAATGATTAATGATAATGATAAATGAACATTGATAGATGAGTAGATGACTGATGATGATGACTGATAAATGATAATGATAATAACGATAAATAATAATAATAGTTAGCAACAACAATAATAATGTTATAGTATATACCAAAATAACGAGAGATAAAGAGAAATACGGGATCGACATGCATGCACTCACACTTGCTGACACGTGTTAGCCACCTGAAGATACGGTTTCGTTCCTGGGTGAGCGAGGAACTCGGTGAGCGGTAGAGCACGCCCAGGGCCGCCTTGGACGGAGGCAGTTCACCTATTTCATCTCGCGCTCTTTTTTTCATTTTGTCCCTTCATTTGTTTGCGAAAAACCTGCCCCGCCGGCCAAGAGCGGCACCCAGGATTCCCAGAGCCAGATGAAATTTTAGAGCAGAGACGAGAGAGAGGAGAAGAAAAGAGGAACAGCCGGGAAGAGAGAGGAGGAAAGAGAGAGAGAAGCAGAAGAAAAGATGCTCCCTCTTCCTCTGCTCCACCTCTCGCCTGACGAGCACGCCTGAGGAGAGAGATAAAAGACCGGGAAAAGCGAGATCGAGCGGGAGAGAGAGATTACGAAAAAGAGGAGAAAGCGAGAGAGAAAGGAGATAGAGCAGAGAGATGATGAGACGACGCAGACGCCGGACCAACTCCCTCACTTGCCGAGCGCATGAGAGAAGGAGATAAAAAAAGGAGAGACATAGCTGAGAGAGAAAAGCAGAGAGAGGAGGAGAGATGATGCGTTCTGAAGAGCAGATAAAAAGATCGGGAGAAAAGCCGACCGAGTGAAGCAGATCATAAAGACGACCGAGCTGATGAGCGCGACGAAGAGTAGCATACAAAAGATTCGGGAGCAAAGCAAGAGAGAAAAAGGAGAGACTCGAGCGCTTGACACGAGACGAGAGATAAAAAGAGGTGAGAAAGCGAAGGATAGAGAGAGAGCCAGAGAGAGAGAGCGGAGAAAGGAGAGAGAGCAGAGGAGACGCAGAGAGAGAAAAGCAGAAAGCGACTTAGCAGAGAGAGCAGAGATGCAGAAAGGCGCTACGAGAGAGAGAGAGAGCTGACGCAGAGAGAGGATGAGAGAGACAAGCGCGCAGGATGAGCCAGAGATAAAAAAGAGGCGAGAGCAGCGATGCCAGAGAGAAGCACGGAATTGCAGACGGCGGTCAGAAGAGAGACTTGAGGAGAAATGCAGAGATAAGCCGCGGCATGACGGCAGAGCACGAATAAAAGACCGCGGAGAAAGCGAGCAGAGCAAAGACCGAGCAGAGAGACGACCGGAGAGAGAGAGAGAGTCGGGCAAAGATGGAGATTGCGCGCGAGAAAAAGAAATATAGAGGGATCAATCCTGAGTAAACTAGACCCAGCTCTTCCAGACCCACCGTTTACAAGCGGCGGATGTCGCTACGCTCGGTAGCTTAGGTAAGTAAGCTAGACCCAGCCGGCGTATTCTAGCTGGCTACACACAGATCACGCACCTGACTACACACAGCATTCAACGCCACCTGATACATCACAGATTCACGCCACCTTGACTACACACGATCACGCACCTGAATACACAGATCACGCCACCTGATTACACAGCATCACCGCACCTGATACACACAGATCACGCACCTGATACACACTTCTCACGCACCTGATACACAGCTCACGCACCTGATACACAGATCACGCACCTGATACACAGATCACGCACCTGATACACACAGCTCAGGCCACCTGATACACACAGACTCACCGCCACTTGGATACACAGATCACGCCACCTGATACACAGCTCACGCACCTTGCCATACAGCACAGCATCAACGCCACCGAATACCACAGCTCACGCAAGCCTGCATACACAGCTCACGCACCTCGTATTACACAGATCACGCACCTGATACACAGCTCACGCACATGATACACACAGCTCACGCACCTGGATAACACAGCAGATCACCGCACCTGATTACACAGCTCACCGCACCTGATACACATGCAAGCTCACGGCACCGGGCCCTGATACACACAGATCCACGCCACTTCTGATACACAGATCACGCACTTTTGATTACGACACGATCACGCACCTGATGACACACAGATCACGCAGCCTGCGACAGCAGCATCCACGCACCCTGATACACAGATCACGCCCACCTGATACACACAGATCACGCACCTGATACACAGATCACGCACCTGATACACAGATCACGCACCTGATACACACAGATCACGCACCTGATACACAGATCACGCACCCTGGCATATACACAGTCACGCACCTGATACACAGATCACGACCTGAACACAGATCACGCACCTGATACACAGATCACGCACCTGATACACACAGATCACGCACCTGATACACAGATCACGCACCTGATACACAGATCACGCACCTGATACACAGATCACAGCCGTACCTGCATACACACAGATCACGCTACCTGTAACACAGATCGACGCACCTGCCATACACCACAAGAGTTCACACCACCTGGATACACAGATCACACAGCCTGATCACAGGTTCACGGCCACCTGAATACACACAGCTCACGCATCCCTCGCATACAACAGATCCCGATCTTGTGCTGGTGTGACGGTATGCCATTCACTGTGCCTCTCTTTTTTCGGTTCGCGACGTAGCCAGCTATGTCCCGGAACTCCTGACATCCAGCGACCGCGCCCTCACCTGGGAAGCACAACCGGCAACGACAAGCTATATATACGTAGGGACCATCTGCCCGCCTATTCATCTTCTTTCATCGCCACCAATTAACTTACGTTACTATTTGTTATAAACCTCTGGAGTAATCATTTTCAGAATAATTCAGAATGATTACTCTCAACGATATCAAATCCTATATTTCAGTTCGTAGATGCTAGGTATGTCACCTGATGCCCCCCAGCCAAACCGCCCCCAAGCGAATCTGGAAGTGCAATCTTTATCAGATGGGCGATTCCTATACCCGGAAACGGGCAGTGTTCCTAGACGAAAAAAGATCAATAAAAAATTGAAGAGCTAAAAAAGTAAAAAATTGATAACAATTCAATGAAGATGCGCGGTCTCGTGTGACAGCATTTAAACACTGCACGCTACGTGTGAATCCATGCGTGTAATTCCCTTAACGACCGCGCATGTGGCCTAAATAGCGTAAACATATCCGCTCTCCTACACCGGCGCATGCGGGTTCGAATCCCAACCTCTGCGGCAAAATACTGACTTTCTTTAATTTTGGATTGTTTTGTATGTACTTCTTGCCACTCACCTGTTAATTTCAAAATTAAATTTTATAAATTTTTTTACTTACATTTCAACAATCCTTGTTGTGTGTGTTTT